CTCCGCGACACGGCACCGCCCCGCCCTCCGGAGAATGATAGACAGCAGCGGCCCCCTGGCGGGAGGTCGCGGCGCCCAGCTCTCTTGGCTTTTCCCAGACCTCAGGCCCTTGGATTGATGATGTGATTGGCTTCCAAGCCGATCCTCGACACCTGAGCCCCCAAATTGTCTCCCTCTCCATCCGGGTCTTCCACTGTGACCCTTATCCTACCACTTCCTTTAAAGAAAGCGCGCTCTGTCCCTGCAGCCTCCAGGCAGTCAGTGGGGCCTGGCCTGCTAACCATCAGGATGGGCGCTAGAAGAGGGGTCACTTTGGATCCTGCTGATCAAATACTTCCAAGTCTTAGGCTTCGCAACACCCTATCAAGTTCCTGCTTTGTTAACCAACCCAGTGAAGAATAGAGGAGCAGGTGATCTAGTCTATAAGAAGGGAAACTGGAGGGCTGGGAAGGTGGCTCAGTGGTAGAGTGCTGTGTCTTGCATGCGGGAGGCCCTGCGTTTGATTCCTCAACACCACATAAACAGAAAAAGCCACAAGTGGTGCTGCTGGCCAAACCTTAGCCATTGGCATCTCTTTAACCTGCCCAGGGGGTCGGCCCTTTGCCTATTCAGAATTGGTTATTTCCCACTCTTATCGGCAGCTCTTTTGTTCTGTAGAGGACTGAAAAGCTTATTGGCTTATTTTTGATGTCTCTTCTGAGAGCAGGTTGAGTACTGGCAGTGGCTGGGTTGGGGAAGGAGGTATCATGAAGTCTTAAGAACATGCCTTGTACAGGGCTTGGTGGTATACTTACTTCTGTAATACCAGCATTTAGAGGCAGAGGCCTAAAGATGTGAGTTTAAGGTCAGCCTGGCCCATATAAGCAAGGCCATGTTTCAATAAAAAGATTTGACGCCCTCAACTTTTCAGTCAGCCTAGTCCTCCTGGTCTTTGACATCTTTGTTGTGGGTTCCTGGGAACTCCAAGGAACAGGTTCCAAGGGTCTTGGTTAAGAATCTCAGGGGCACCGGGCGTAGGTGGCTCACACTTGTAATCTTAGCTACTCAGGAGGCTGAAATCTGAGGACCACAGTTCAAAGCCAGCACAGGCAGGAAAGTCCGTGAGACTCTTCTCTCGTTAACCACCAGGAAACTGGAAGTGGTGCTGTGGCTCAAACGGTACAGCACTAGCCTTGAGCTGAAGAACTCAGGGATAGTGCCCAGGCACAGAGTTCAAGCCCTATGACAACAAAAAAAAGAATCCCAGGGGCTGGTTCTGCTACACACCTCCACTAGAAGGCCTGAGAACGAGGATCAGAAGATGAGGCAGCACTGATGCTGAGCCCAGTGAGAGGCCTTGGAAGGAGATGCCAGCTGATTCAGGTGGGAGACAGAGCTGCTAGAACCTGACAACCAGGACCCTAGCTTCCCTGCACCTGACTCAGCAATTCAAGATCTTCTTTGGCCTTTCCTCTTTCTAGAAGCCCTCCAAGCCCAGAGCAGTGGTTGTGTTAGCTTGACCTTGTGGGGGATAAGGCTGGTGGAATCCAGAACTGGATAAGAGTATTGGCAGGTGGTAAGGCCAAGGCCACCCCTGTCCACTGTATCATCCCCATGAGCCCCTTTACTATGACAGCAACCAATCAGCTAAGTGGCTACTTGAACATCAGTTCAGTATTGGCCATCATGTCCAGCCAATTAGCTACTGCCCGTGACACACGTAAGGATTAGAGCCCCTGCTACCCAACTTCTGCTTTAGTTGCATAGCTTAAGTTGACCTGTGCCAAGTGTTATTTTTTGTTTTTGGTTGGTCGTGGGGCTTGAACTCTGGGCCTAGGCGCTGTCCCTCAGCCCTTCAGCTCAAGGTGAGCGCTCTACCACTTGAGCCATAGCACCACTTCCGGTTTTCTGGTCGTTTATTGGAGATAAGAGTCTCAAGGACTTTCCTGCCTTGTCTGGCTTCAAATGGTGATCCTCAGCTCTCGAGGTCCTGAGTAGCTAGGATTACAAGCTTGAGGCAAGGCTTTCAAGTGTGAACTTTTAAGATAGGGTTGCTAGAAGACTCAACCAGCTACAGACCACAGAAGGCACATGGCTCTTTCTGGATGATCTTAAGGTGCTGGACTGTGGGGCAGGATCCAGAATATTACTGGGTTAGAGAAGAGGAAGTCCCAGCATGTGGGAAGGCTGATGTGTGTGGGGGAAAAAAATGACAGTAGCACTGGATACAATAAACAAAAAGATCTGTATTAGATCTGTATTACACTCAGGGAACAAAGAGGTATCTGCATCATCATATGTGGAATGTTGAAGAAATAGTTAAAATAAATAAAACTCCGTGGCTGGGGCTGGGGCTGGCTGGGGGCTCCCAGAGGCCACTGCGCACCAGCCCCAGGGGCCACCACCTGGCCATACTGGCTTCCTCCCTGGCGCAGCACAGCTGGGCCTGGGACACACAGTCTCTTAGGTCCTCCACAAGCCGACAAGCTCACTCTCCACTCTCCTCACTGATCTCTGTGACGATGTCTATCAGACTCTGGAGCCCAAAGATATAACCGGCATCCTGGCCCTCGTGGACCACGCTGTCCTCGCCAAACAGCCTGCAGGTGGTGTGTGCAAAGTCGATCATGCGCACGTCCACGGAGCTGGCGCCAATGGGCTTGTAGGCATAGGCCCCGGCAGACTCATCGGCTGATTCTTCTGACAGATCCTCCAAGTCCTCGGCATCAGAGTCCAGAGCCACTTCAGGCCACTCCTTGCCATCGTAGATGATCAGCAGGGAGCTGGAGTAAAAGCGGTAGGATTCCTGTCGCTCCAGCACGGCCTTGAGCTCCGCCAGCTTCTTCAGCACAGGGCTCAGGAGCTCCCGGCGCAGGTACCGCCCATTGTGGAAAAACTGGAAAAGCGCCTCTTTGAAACCCTGCACAGAGAGCTTCCGCCCATGATACTTGTTCATGAACATGAGCTGGCCGGTGCCTGCCTGGTAGACCTGTATGAGAAATAAGGACCTTACTGTAGGGGGTTTGGGAGGGACGTGATAGCCCAGATTTGATCCTTTCATTTGGGAAGCACACCAATCACACAAGAGTCAGTTGGTATCTTCTCTGATCAACATCTAACCAGAAAGTAGCTATCTGAGGCTGATTCAGTCCGTGGGCCCCTGGCCCCTATTCTGTATGTCAAAGGAGGCAGCCCCGCCCTCTTGCCTTGTGCTCAACTCCTGTCCCCTGTCCAGACTTTGGACTTGGCCAGGCAAGCCAGTCTCAAGAGATATCACACAGGCACACAAGATTTCTTTTTTTTTAAACCAGTCCTGGGGCTTGACTCGGGGTCTGGGTGCTGTTCCTGAGCCTTTTTTTTTTTTTTTTTGCCAGTCATGGTGCCTGAACTCTGGGCCTGGGCGCTGTCCCTCAGCTCTTCAGCTCAAGGCTAGCGCTCTACCACGTGAGAGCCACAGCACCACTTCCAGCTTTTTCTGCTTATGTGGTGCTGAGGAATTGAACCCAGGGCCTCATGCATGCAAGGCAAGCCATCCCTGAGCCTCTTTTGTGCTCAAGGCTAGTGCTCTACCACTTGAGCCACAGCACCACTTCTAGCTTTTTCTTTTTTTGCCAGTCGTGGGCCTTGAACTCAGGGCCTGGGCAAGGCCCTGCGCCTCTTTTGCTCAAGGCTGGCACTCTACCACTTGAGCCACAGTGCCACTTCTGGCTTTTTCTGTTTATGAGGAATCGAACCCAGGGCTTCATGCATGCTGGCAAACGCTCTACCACTGAGCCACCTTCCCACCCTCTACTTCTGGCTTTTTCAGAGTGATTTATTGGAGATGAGTCTCACGGACTTTGCTGCCTAGGCTGGCTTTGAACCATGATCCTCAGATCTCAGCCTCCTGAGTAGCTAGGATTACAGGAATGAACCACCAGCACTGGGCTCTTTCCTTTTTTTTTTTTTTTTTTTGGTTGTTGGTGGTTATGGGGCCTGAACTCTGAGCCTGGGCGATGTCCCTCAGCTCTTCAGCTCAAAGCTAGAGCTCTACCACTTGAGCCACAGTGCCATTTCTGGCTTTTTCTGCTTATGTGGTGCTGAGGAATTGAACCCAGGGCCTCATGCATGCAAGGCAAGCACTCTACCAACGAGCTACCTTCCCAGCCCTCTTTTTTTTTTTTTTTAATTAATGCCAGGCTTGAGGCTTGAACTCAAGGCCTGGACACTGTCACTTCTGGCTTTTTCGCTAGCTAATTAAAAGATAAGTCTCATGGACTTTCCTGCCCTGGCTAGCTTTGAACTCTGGTCCTCAGATCCCAGCCACCTGAGTAGCTAGGATTACAGGCGTTAAGCCGCAGGTACTGGGCTTACATAAGCTTTCTTATTGGCCACAAAGCAGGACTCATACAGGCTCAAATGTGAGCACTTTAGAGACAACAGGACTATGCCCTGGCCAGGGTGACGAGCCACGGGATGGCCCAGCCAGCTCTTGTCCTGGCACTGTCCTCACCTGCATGCCGCACACGCGTACCCCAATGACCGCTGATGTGCTCTGCTGACATTTTCGGATCTGGTTGGCTGCTTTCTCTTCTGAAGCATCATCGCCATGCTGCCGTGTGCCCATCTTGAGGTCCAAGACACAAGGCACCTCATAGCGGGAAGTCAGGTTCTCCAATAAGATAAATTCTGAGTTGTTAAGGAAGATATTCACAAGAAAAGTGCTGGTGCTACACAGTGGCCTGGCACTACTCTCAGAGCTTAATGCCCACATGCGGAGAGACCCAGAGGAGCTCAAGTCTATAGGGGACCCCACTAGTTAAGCCATCATCTATTCAGGGAGGCCAGGGTGCTTGCTGGGAGATGTGTACACTATTTCCAGAATAGCTAGGTATAGGACCAGATTCCAACAGCACACTGTCCCCACCTACAAATAAAACAGCAAATAAGGTCCAGAAATCTGATAGTTTGGCTATCAGTATGAAATTATGAAGAAAAAAAAATTGGGGGGGGGGAGGTGTTGGTCGTGGGACTTGAACTCTGGGCCTGGACACTGTCCCTCAGCTCTTCAGCTCAAGGCGAGCACTCTACCACGTGAGCCACAGCACCACTTCCAGTTTTCTGGTGGTTCACTGGAGATCAGAGTCTCATGGACTTTCCTTGCCTGGGCTGGCTTTGAACCACCATCCTGAGATCTCAGCCTCCTGAGTAGCTAGGATTACAGGGGTGAGCTATCCGAGCCTGGATGAAAATATTTCTTTGCTTTAAAAATTGTCTATGAGGGGCTGGGAAGGTGGCTCAGTGGTAGAGTGCTTGCCTTGCATGCCTGAGGCCCTGGGTTCGATTCCCCAGCACCACATAAGCAAAAAGAAAAAGGAAAAAAAAAGCCGGAAGTGGCTCAAGTGGTAGAGTGCTGCGCCCAGGCCCAGAGTTCAGGCTCCACGACCGGACTCAAAAAAAAAAAAAAATTGTCTATGATCCACATGTACAGAAAGATCTAGAAACAATGACCAGAAGTAATAAGCACAAACATGTCTCACCATCTCCCATTAACAGGAACCACCCCGCCTTGGAGGGGAGAAACTGGTAAACTATGGTCTACTCATTCATTGTGCAGTCTATAAGCTAGAAGTGTGTGTGTATCTGGGGGAGAGGGGCCTTGAATTCAGGATCTACTAGCAAGTACACTTGCCACACGCTCATCAGTCTTTGCTTTTTTTTTAAAGATAGAGTATCTAGCTTTTGCCAAGAAATAGCCCCAGACCTTAACTTTTCTACTTGTGCCATCTCTGTAGGTAGAGCATAAGATACCAAGACTGGTTTATCTTTGAGACAGTCTTGTAACTTCTGTGCCCAGCTGTCTTTAAATTGTGATCTTTCTACTTTCACCCCCCAAATAGCTGGAATTGGTTATTAAAAGCTAAAACAAAACCAAAACAACCACCACCAAACCCCCCTCCCCCCCAAAAAAAAACCTAGCTGGGTGCTAGTGGCTTATGCCTGTAATCCTAGCTACTAAGAAGGATGAGATCTGAGGACCAAAGTTCAAAGCTATCCTGGGCAGGAAAGTCCATGAAACTCTTCTCAACAACCACCAGAAAAACTGGAAGTAGCTCTGTAGCTCAAAGTCGTAGAGAGCTAGCCTTGAGCACAAAAGCTCAGCAACAGCGCCCAGGCCCTCAGTTCAAGCCCAGCAACCAACAAAAAACAAAACAAAAATTTATGTGTACACACACACACTTTATGACCTATGAAAATGAAATGCTAGGGTTGGGAAGTTGGCTCAGTGATAGAGTGCTTGCCTTGCATGCATGAGGCCCTGTGTTTGATTCCTCAGTACCACATAAGCAGAAAAAAGCCAGAAGTGGCACTGTGGCTCAAGTGGTAAGGCACTAGCCTTGAGCTGAAGAGCTGAGGGACAGCGCCCAAGCCCAGAGTTCAGCCCCTACAACCCTCCCCCCCCAAAAAAAAGAAAATGAAATGCTATTCAATCACAGTGACTTAAGTTTTATAGAACACAGCCACACTCATGAATTTACATTATTATCTATAGCTGCTTTCATAGTACAGTGATAAAGCTGTGACAAAGAAATTGTATGGACACCAAAAGCTAAATTATCTACTATTTAGCCATTTACTGAAAAGATCTGCCGAGCTCTAGAAGAATGGTTTCGAGTTCACAACTGGGGAGAAAATATTCACAGCCATTTCCTGAACTATCTTTTTCATACCAGAAAGCATGACAACATTAGAAACTACCCTGGCTGTGTCCAACTTGGAATATTCTGAGCATCACAACCGCAATGAATTACAATGCCACAGATATATTTAAGTTCATGCATTTATAATGATGCTAAAAAATTCACTAGCTATCAGACTGGTGGTGGCTACGACTATAATCCCAGCTACTGAGGAGGCTGAGATCAGAGGATAACAGGGTGAAACTACTCCAGGCAGATAAATCTGAGACTCACATCTCCAATTAACAAGCCAAAAGCATAGAGCTGTGGTTTACGTGGTAAGAGCGCCAGCCTTGAGCAAAAAAAACAAAAACAAATGAGAACATTCAGCCCTCCCTTAGTTTATACCCTAGCATCAGCGCGCATGCGCACACACACACACACACACACACACACACACACACACACACACGCGCGCGCGCGCGCGCACAAGCACATGAGGAAAATTCACTGGGTATCTCTGGAAAATGTTAGGGAACCCACCCATTATTTCAAATACTAATTAGTAAAAGAAAATAAACATTTAGCCTTCCCTCCTACATAAAACTGTACCGCAGGACAATAATGAAGAAAAGTTGCTCTTTGTTTACTTGATTCTAGCTGATGACTAACAATTTGTTTTTTAATCACCTAATGAATGAAAGAGATGGCTCTAAGGCAAAAATAATTCAAAAGAGAAAGGCAACCAGTGTCCTTCCCAATGCACAATTCCATCTCTTGAAGGTTCTTGCTCCTTACCTCCCAGGAACTGAACCTGTTTTATCAAGCCTTTACATTCAATTATCAACTTATTGGAAAGTGGGAGAAACACAGTAACAAGATACCAAAGGTAAATTTAAGATGATGGATCAGTGTCTTTCACGACAAATTTCCAAGAAATGGGAGTGCTACTTAATGACTTAAAACATTTCAATCCATTATGCCATGTGCACCTAACCTGGATCCCAATTCAAACAAATCAATGGTACAAATATACTTACTGAGAAATTAGAAATATAGGGACTTGAAGTATTTTACAAGAGTGAAAATAAATAAAATATCTTTATCTTAGGCTAGTGGCATAGCTAAAGTGGTAGAGCCCCTGCCTAGCAGGCTAAGGCCTAGGGTGCAAACCCCAGTACTGTCAACAAATACAATTCTTCTTTCAGAGACAAATGCTAAAGTGTAGAGATGAAATGATTTTTTTTTTTTTT